AAGCATAAGTTTTTTAAGTAGGTTGTTAAATTCTTTAAAGCTAATTTTACAACCCAAAAATAGCTTTTTTAAGTCTTGACTGTAGCAGGCTTGGCTGGTTGCTTAGCTGGTCGCTTAACCAGTAGTTTAGCATCAACCTTTACTCTCCATTCAGCAAGAGCAATATACCGCTCTCTCTATTTGAAAATTAAGAATTCAATTTCCACAAAAAGTTATTGACTCTGAAATTAAATTGTATATTGATAAGAAAATGAACCCATCTGTTTCTACCTTAGTTAGTAACTCAAATATAAGATACTTCAAGCTTCCATTTATTGGAACTTATTCTAATTATACCAAAATTAAAATTAAAAAAATTTTTAATAAATACTGCAAAGATGTTCTTATAAAATTAATATTTACTACTAATAAAATCCAAAATAATTTTTGTTTAAAAGATCCACTTCCTAAGTTGCTTAAATCTCATGTTTAATTGTTTACAAATTTTCATTGTTTACAAATTTTCTTGCGCTGGCTGTAATGCCAGTTATATTGGAGAAACTTCCAGACATTTAACAACTAGAATTAATGAGCACCTTGGGACTGATAAAAAATCCCATATATATAAACATTTAATTACATCCCTTAATTGTAAAAACCTATCTAATTGTAATTCATTTAAGATTTTGGATACCGCTTCAACTAAACATAAATTAAAAGTAAAAAAAGTGCTCCACTTTAAATGGGAAAATCCCTCACTTAACAAACAAACATCCCATTATAACATTAATCTATCTATTTAATTAAAATGACAGTTTATTTTATTTTGATTATATTGATTGGATATTTGTTGAGTCATTTGTAATTATTTTATTGGTTTATTATATATATTTTTGTCCGTTAATATTCTCTGTAAAGTCTTCTGTTTTTAATATTTATTCCAGAGTTTTTTATTGTAAAATAATCTTTTGAAAATGTAATGCAAATTACGAAACATGTCAAGATTAAAAAACATCGTGTTATTTTTAAAAATACACACTTATTTTATGCTATTGCGACACTCAAGAAATTTATATATATATATATATATATATATATATATATATATATATATATATATATATATATATATATATATATATATATATATATATATATATATATATATATATATATATATATATAATATATATATATATATATATATATATATATATATATATATATATATATATATATATATATATATATATATATACATACACACATACATATATACACATACATACATACTCACACACACACACATATACATATATATATATATATATAATATATATATATATATATATATATATATATATATATATATATATACACACACATATACACACATATATGCATATATTCATACATATTCACATAAATACACATATATATACGTATACGAGAGTTCGCAGTACATATACAATATAAGAAATATATTACATATACATCGTTTATAATAAAAGTATAAATAAAGATCGAAATCTAGCGCTGCATTTGTATTCACATTTAAAGTCTTTCAGTATAATTCTGCTTTGATGAAAAAGCTAGATATAATTGGAAGGAGTGCACTAAAATCGCTTTTAAATATTTCCAAACACAGTAAGAACTATACAAATTCGCTATTTAAAATCCAGGAAATTTCAAAAAGTATTCAACAAAATAAATTAAACTTGTTTCTTCAACTGCTTAATGATAAAATAACTTTATACATTATCTTTTCACAACTGAAACACCCCTTATTTAAACATTCGTTTGTTGGCGATATCTAGGACCAATGCCGTTTTCGGATGCTAACTTTTCAAAACTTAATTCAAAATAAAGGGAAGATAATAATAGCTCTTTCTAGAAGTGAAATTCCCTCCGAAGTTGAACCAACTTTGAAATATGCAATAGAGTGCTGGAATGTGAAAGTACAAAGAGGAATTTTTAAACAATTTCTGGAAGAAAAAATTCTTAAGCGTAAATCACAAGAAATAACTTTCTTATATTTCTTTTTTTACCTTGAAACTTAAGGCCGGGTTAATAAAAAAAAGTAATTGCTTTTACTCAGTAACTGTTTAGCTTTACGTAATTAAAAATTTGAGCAAAATAGCTTAAATTTTTATTCACGTAAAGCTGAGCAATTTACTCCAACAGCGCTCGTAATTACGCTTTACGTAAATAAAAATTCCATAATTGCTCAGTTTTTTATTCACGTAAAACTGAACAATTACTGAGTAAAGCAATTGCTCTTTTTTGTTCACCCGGCCTTTAGATAGGGTGTTAAATAAATGAAATAATCACTATATAATAATACAAAACTTAATAATCCTTTTAGTGCCCTTTCGAGCATGTTTGACACAAAACCCAACGCAGCCATTGCAACCGAGGTACTGGCGAGGAAGAGTCGCAGCACTTTTTTATAAGAAAACATTAACGAAAGTGTGTGCAAATAACTAACGCACATAAACTTCAAAATGCTAAATGTCAAAACATACTAAAAAATGTATCAAGTTTTTAAGCTTTACTTTAACTTGAAAACTGCATTGTGGCAACATCTCCTTAAACTTTGACCGATAGCTGTTTTATAAAGTCTTTGGTTTAATATATATTTTAAAAAATTTTGTTAGACGATAAAGCGGCGTAGTTAGTTCGCGGCAGTTCGTTAAGTGGTCAGTTCGCTGAGCTACTGCTCAGGGGAGCCGTGTTTGAATCCTTCCATTGGATTTTTTTTTTTAATCTTTTTCGATTTTTCTAAAATACAAAACTAATCGCTTTTGAAGATTTATAGAGATTAAATATACTTAACACCTGTAAAAATATTTTACACTTTAACAAACGAAAGAAAGAAAATTTTTTAAAAAGTTTAAAAGTTCTAAAAACGTCATAAAACAGGAAAAATTTATTGCGCTTATTTGTCATGTTTAATTTTACATTAAACATGACAAATAAGCGTTTTATTTAAGCGTTAAAGTTTTCTCCAACTAAGTCGTATTCGTGCAAAGAAAATGGGTATTATTTAACTTTTATGAATCTCTGGAATATCTTTGAATCTCTTTACTATTACATTATCATAAATGTATTTATTAATTATACTTTTTTTTATAAATAGTATGTATAGAAGCTAAATATGACCTTATTTTAAATATAATTAAGTTGTTTTTTTATTTCTTTTTTATTTTTTTTTATTAAATTTTTTGATTTATCTAAAGTAGAAAATAAAACACTTTTAAGGGTTTATAAGTATTATATACATAACATATGTAAAGATATTATACTCTGTAACAAACGAAAGGAAGAGAATTTTAAAGAAGCTTAAAAATTCTAAAAACATCAAAACACCAGGAGAAATGTACTCAGGTAATTCTAATAAGTTAATAAGCTAATATGTTATATGCAAATGTAAAAATACCCTTTATATAACGTTTTATTCAGGATCGTATGTAAATGTAATATAAGTAGACTTTTCTAATAATTAAATATTTTTTCTGCTCAAAGTGTTTTGTTTTGAATTTTTGTATGTTTGCTATTGTATTTAAAAAAATTGAAAACATTTGAAAAACACGAAACATTGTCTCATCCAATTGGAAAACCTGAAACTTCGATTTCGAAAAATTATACAATGTAAAAGAACTTAAAATTCAGTTTTTCACTGTGTATGTTCTTTATCGATGTGTCCATATCTGTTCAAGAAAACATTAATATATTTAAGTTAAAGAATCATTTTTGTTATAAATTAACGTTTTACTATATATATATTTTTTGTTTTATTTGTTTTTATAATTTTACCTTAATTATCTCATGATGGTAAAGATATTTTTCATGTTTAGCTGTAAATACTATGTATAACAAACATTTCAAATTTATTTGTTATTTTATTTCCTTAGTCTTACTTTGGTGCTCCACCAACTATCATAAAAAAACTTTGTCTACTGTTAAAATATGGTTTTAACTTAGTAAACTTTAATTATTTAAAATTTACTATGTTGATCATTAGCTAAGAGTTTAAAAAGAAACCTGTTTGTCGCAATTAAGGTAAGAAAAGTTTTGTTTTTTTATTCAAATTGCACATTTTTTTTGCACTGATAGCTATTATGTTTTTGATATTTTGTGTAATAGCTAATTGTCTTTGCATTGAACGTCTTTTCTTTCAGATTTTGACTATTAACAATGCTTCAGAAAAAACATCAGCAACAGATAAATTGGTTTGTAGTGTTAATATGTAATGTTTTTACTTTTATCATATCATAATTTCTATTTTATCTTAGATATATCTTACAATGCTTTTCACCATATTCCAGAACAAATAGAGAGACCCTAACCCACATCTCATAAGGTGTGGGCCCAAGTTTAGGGCAAAAGCTCAACCCTCCTTTGTGGATCCTGTTGAAAGTAAAATATGAGGTGAGGGAGAGTGGTGGAAAAATAATACGCTACATCTATAATAATTTTTATAGTTGGTTAATCTACCAATTGTTAATTGATGATGCAGATGCAGTTAAATTTTTTCTTGCAAATATAACTTTTTTTACATTTTTTGTTTTGTTATTTTGTATAAATATCTAGTAATTGTAAATGATAAAACGTTTTTATATTTAATAATGTTTATAAATATTTTATTTTTTTTTATCAATAAATATTTGTAATGTTTTGTATATAAATTTTTTTGAAAAGGTTTATGCTTTTTTTAATTGTTAAAATGTCATATATTTTGTTTCTTTTTCTAATGTTTTACTAATGGTTAATAAATAAAAGCAAAGATACATAGAGATACATCGACTGAGGGTTAAGGTTTGGGCAGGCATTCTTTTAAATTAAAGAAAAGAGTTTTAATATTTATTTAAATAGTTAATAAAATATTTTAAATTATATTTAAAAAATTAGATCTATAAAACTAAATTACATAAGATTTTCAGATAAAACAGTCAAAATAATTATTTAAATACGTGCGTGCAAATAACTCCTACAAATACTAAACGTAAAAAAATGCTTACAAACGCCAAATGTATGTTTACCGTGAATAAAATTAAGTTCAAAGATAAATTGAAAGAAACGTTTAAAACTGTCTCAACAATAACATGTATTTTTAATTTTTATTGTTGTAAGTTGGCATAAAAAGTGTTGCGCGCCTACTAATTAGCCCATAAACGTATTCTCTGTTTAGAATTTTAGATTATTTATGACGCATAAGTAGTGTAATTAGAAATTCAAAACCAAATTTGCAACAACTGAATTTAAAAAAAAATCTAATTAGATGCGTATACGTTATGAACGTTAACTAAGGCGTACTTTTATGGCATCGCGTGTTGAATGTTTTAGCAATTTTCGTAGTCTTATTTACGTTTTGGGTAAAAATTTCTCAAAAAACACAAATCTGCACCCTATATCACCAAAGTTTTTGAAACTTGGCACAAATGTTTATAGACATATGTAAGGAAAGATTGTAATTTTTTTTCATAAAATTCCTTACCGTTTATAATTTACAGCAATTTGAAGTTTCCTTGATTTTGACGAAAAACTGAGGGGGGAAAAGTGCCGAAAATCATTCCGTTTACTTTCACCTTAATATCGTGCTTGTAATGATGCCACAATTCTGAAACTTTGTACCAAAAGAGTTTAAAACCTGTTAAATCCAAAAAATACAGTTTTTTATATGTCAAAACAAGGGAATGTAGCTTATTTTAAGATCCATAAAATACACTTTATAACGCCGAGAAAAAAGGGCATTGACAATTATAGCTATAAAAAAAATCTGACTGATATAAAAAAAAAATTAATTTCAATTTTCTTAAAAATAAGATCAACACCTACTTTTCGAACCAATTTTGTTTTGGACTTATATTTACTTGAGGAATTATTGATGTTTGATAAAGACACAAAATTTTTTAAATTAGACACTTAATATAACCCCACCTTTTACCAATCAATCAAATTAGAAACTAAAAATTTAGTGACTTTATTATCTTTTTCATTTTCATATGATATTTACAACAAAATTTAAACGTATATAAATTTTTTTTTAAAAAATATTAAACTTTAGTGATTTTATATATGCTTTACATTCACATTATTTACAAGTTGGTTCACAAAACATAATATTTAAAAAAAGAATGGATAAGACATAATAGACTCATAAAAATAAAAATCTCTACTTCCTTAGGAAAATAATTTTTTTAAGTCCTCTTTGGCTAAATAGTGGCAAAGTCCTGTTTTTGTTATCGGTACCTCAACTTTGCAAATAATGTGGACATCAGGAATCCAGCATTGGCTTTCCTTTGGTGGCCATTTAAACGACCGGGCAGGACCATTAGGACACATAAATTTTACAAGCACATCTTTTTCTTCTAAATTAATATCTTCAATGACTCCTATCCACCACTTTTGCTCATAGGAAACACAGGCATAATCACCTGGTACTAGGTTTACAATTGTTATCTGGATTTTTCCAAAGTCATGAATTAAAGCAAATTCTTCATCAACACTGCATAGCTTAGTGCCTACCTAAACAAAATAGTAACATATGCAATTATTCCGTTTTACTTATCAAACATGTTTTATAAAATGCATAGATAGCAAATGCAGAGGAAATAAAATAAAATACAAATACTTTTGATAATGATTCTGCAAAAATCTAATATCTATTTGAGTTTATCAATAAAAGTTATGCGTGTATTTTAAAATATGGTAAAAGGTATAATTAAAAAATAATAATTTACCTTTTGATGGCCAAGTGGTACAAACTGATGGTAACTACGTGTTCCAGGTATTGTATTAGCAGTATCCAATCGTTCTTTAAGAGCGGTTCTCACCAAAGTTAAATCTTCTGATGAAATATATATGAAATTTATGCCTTCAATGTTTTCATTGCAATATTTATACATTGTTTGTGGAGATAAAATATGATTATCCATATCTCTTTGCAAACTTGCTAATGTTGCCAGACGTTTGACTGTACCACCTATCCCATCACAAGGTTGCTTACCGTGACTAGTTGCAAAAAAGTTCCATTTAGCAGTAAAACCAAAATCTTCACAATGGAAACAAAGATTTAACATATTTTTGCAATTCTTATATTGACCTGCACACCCATCTGAAAAGTATTCAATATTTTTTATTTGAAGCAAATTTGTTTTTATATCATTGCAAACAACCTCAATAATTTTATAATCCATGTTCACATCACGGATCAAATCATCCGAAATAATACAATAGGATTTGTGCTTGAGAATGCCTTCTTTTTTGAAATAAATAATCACTGGATGAAGTGTACATTGTAAATTTGTCCAATGAAAGCTTTGCACTTCATTCTGAACTACAAATTTATAGTTTTCTGAAAAATCACCCAGAAATAATGCTGTTACCTTATTCATATCTTCCTTTCTTGATCTCAGGTACAATGCTTGACTCTTTGCTAAATACGAATGTGGTGCAAGTTTTTCCAGTTTTCTACATACTAGTTCAATGTATTTAAACACTGGCTCTTTATTATGTGTCAAGTTTGACCTATCTGTTGTTGTCCATTGATCAAATTCAATCTCATCATCATCTTCAAATTATCCAAGTATATCATAAAGTTTTTCAACCAATGCATTCACAGTTGCTAAGCATTTTTCACATTTCCTCATCATACAGTCTTTATTAGTTATATCACAGAGAATAAAATTAACCATTCTTTGTATGTCACACCAAGAGGATGTAAAAGCAGTTTCAAATTCTGATGAATAGCACAGACGCATACAGAATGTGTTCCTGAGGCACCAACAGTAATACACCATTTAGGTCACAAGGTGCAAATCCTTGAAAACCCTATTTTTATTTCTGGGTTCTTGGTTTTAAAGGCAACAAACAATTCCTTTAAATTACATAAGAGCAAACGTTTTTGCATGTGGATATTTTTCTTTATGCTTACATAGTTCTTTTTACCAGGCATTATACGGCTATGTTCATTGTGTTTGTAAAAGGTCTTGACCAGTTGAACTGTTACATCAGGAAGAGCTTTTCCTAATTTAGGATTAGGCATGGTTAATATACCTTTTTCTAATGTTAACTTACATGCAGTTCGAGCTGCATAGTTTGTTACATGCAATGTTTCAGATACCTTTTTTATTGACCAGTCTGTTGGAGCAAGTGTCGCAAGTTGTACTTTTTTTGATGTTGATGTAGACTCTGCAATTTTGTTAGTTAACAATACCATAATGTTATCAAGCAAGTTTGCTTTTTCCATATACTCATTATTAAAATTTAACTGTTCTTCAAAACTTTCTTCTGATATATTAAGGGAAATGGCTACCTTTTTTTTAATGGAGGTTGTTAATGCTGTCAATTTTTGTTTGCCTTCTCTGATTTTACCTGACTTGTGCAATCCTTTGACCTTAATTGGAGATACTCCAGCAGATGCAAAGTGTGTATCTACACTTTCTTTTTTATTTTGAATGGATCTTTCATTAACAATATCAAAATCTTCATCTTTTTTATTTTCACTTAAAATTTTTAATAAACATGTCATAACTTTACTTCGACAGGTTGGACACAGTTTTTTTCCAGGTATAAGATTTAAACCTATGGTTTCTGCTTCTAACACAGTATGCATTGTAATCACACGTAGAGATGCTTAAAAAGAAAGTAATTACATTACTTAAATAACATTAATTATATATATTATGTAATTATATTACTATACAATTTGTTATATTAATAACTATGAAACATTGAACAAATCTTATTACCAAAAAAACTTATATGACTTATTAATAATGATATTACCTAATGAAATATAAATATATAAATTTTTACCTCTACACACCTTTTGGTGACTCAGAAATGGATTACAGCAACTTTTCTGATTACCCTCATATCTTACAACTAACATATCATGATGGTGTGTGCATATATTAGTAATTTGTTCTTGTTTCAGATTTGTTCGTTTTTCAAGTAGCTTACAATCATTGCTGTCAATATCTTCAATCAGATTTCTTTCTTGAGAATATGATTGTTTATAACAAGCTCCATAATTATTTACAGAGCAGCAAATAATTTTGTTATCCATATAAAAATATAATGAGGAACCTCTGTCTAAACACTTAATACAAGAAATCTTAAATAATCTTAATGTCCCTAACAAGAAAAGTACACTTGAACACAAACAATATCATATCAATATGTATTTATAAAGAACATATTGCTTGAACAAGTAGCTATTAGTTTAATAGACATATTTTAAATGCCTAACTATCTACTAATTATTGTAAATTCTCCATTAACTACTTACAAAAAGTTGTGTAAAAGTAAAAGATAACTAAATATAATTTTATTTATTTATGTAATTTAACATGATAATGTTAATTAGACATTATTATATCATTTTATTACTTTTTTTATTGATGATAATAAATGTTTTGTTACAACAAAACAATCAACAACAAAAGTTACATAATATTGTTAAATTTAATGACATGATCTTATGTAATGAAAATGACATTATTATTATATAATGAAAGTAAAAAGAAACAAATTTATAAAATGTTCAACTATGTTTTGTAATAACTTTGTAAATTTTTTACACAGCTATTACAAAACAAAAATAATTGTATTTGTATTCAAAATATATTTGCAAATTTTTTTTTTGCAAAAATATCTTTAGAAAAATTCTCCTTGATAAAACATAAGGTCAAATAAAAATTGGTTTGCAAAGTAGATATATGTTTAATATTTAAAATAATGAAAACCAAAACTTTTTTCATCAGTCAGATTTTTTCTAGAACTATAGTTGTCAATGGCCTTTTTTATTGTCATTAACAAGTGCATTTTGTTGATCAAAAAATAAACTATATTTTATTGTTTTGAGAGATATAAGTTTATGATTTTCAGATTCAGCAGGTTTTAAACTCCTTTGGTACCAAGTTTTAGCTTCGCAACATTACTACAAGTTTGTTAAAAGGGTAATGGTAAATTGACATATTTCCGGCTTTATCCCCCTCTTTTTTCAGTCAAAAAATAACTAACTTCAAGTTGCTGTAAATC